ACGACTGAAGATAGTAATTCAAGACCAAAACATCAATTGAATTATCATTATTATTCGTGAACATATAACACTAGACCTAATAATTAATAACAGTATAAAATGTGATTAACTTTTCACAAATCAACATAACTAAACGCATAGAGAGTTGTCTAAAATACTCACAACTCAGGAATAGTGTTAAATATTCATTCAATATTTTTATTTATTCAACCACAATAAAACTTTATATTCTGTTACTCATCAATGTAATCAATGATAGATTATGTAAAAATAGAACAGTGACATATTTCCTAAACAATGAACTAGTCAATATGCATAGATTTACTATGAACGATATATATTTAAACAACAACAAAAATTATCATAACCATTTATTCTATTCTGATCAATATGTAATACTATCTACATATATAAATTGAAATAACCAATCAAAAACCAGTAAAGAAATATTTAAAAACAGCTGATTTCTATTTTAATTTGCTTATGTATTGCTGTTGGTAGTTATTTATTTGGGATTGAATGAATGGATTAGAAAATTTCCAGTCAATTTTCTTGCTTTCTCTCTCTCTTTCTTTCTCAGTTAGCCCATTGTACTTTCCAGTATTTGTTTCCTTTCCAAAAATTTTTTCTCTTTATAGAGTTCTATCAATTTAATATGGTGGTGGTTTTTATAAATTACAAAATTTTTTGTTTGTCTTTTTTTCTCTTTTCCTCTTTTATCTTGAGTGGGTTTATAAAAATCGGCAGAATCAAAGTTGACTTGTTATAGTGTTTAAATGTATAGTTGGATCAATTTATACTCATGTGATAGATAGACTAATTTCGATTAATTGTGATAAGATATTGTGACCTATTTCTAAATGTTAATGAACAATTTAACGTGAACGTAGACAAACGATGGTCAATTTATTGATTTCCTTCTTTCGTTATATCTTAAAACTATTGTATACGTAATGTATTCACGGACTAGTTAGTATTGTGGAACAACAACTCATTTCTGTGGTCAATTATAACTAGGTTTTCGTACTATGATAATAAATAGATTTATGCGTGGATTGAGAGCAATTCATCTATGATGAAAGAAAAAGTGTTTCATCTGATTACATTACTTATCAAAGTCTTAGTATATATATGTTAACTAAAAAGTGGAATACTAATAAAGTATTTATAAATTTGAACACTAAAGTTGTAATAATTATTGATTGATGAGTAAAACAAAGGGCAGTTCACTAGAGCACGATACTATTACGCAATAGCTTCCAGATGATGTTAATCCATGATCAATGCTGTTGTCAAACCTTTTTTCTGATAAAAATTAGGAGTTTTAGTGAATATCAAAGGTATAAACAAACAAACATGATGTTAAAATAAACAACCTTTCCTATGAGAGCTTACAAAAAACACACAAAATTCTTTTTACGATTTTGGTGGTTTCATTCTCTAGACTGAATGGTTTAATTGTGAAGTTTTAATAGTTCTTCTGAACAACAACATCAGCACCTGAAGTCCTTTTTTATCCAGAAGAGCAATTAAAGCTTCATAATTAAATCATCCAGTTCCGAGGATGAAACTCTACCGAAATAAATTTCTCCATGATCTCTATTTATGAAACGGAAACTTTAGATTAATTTTTAAAAAAGTCTTTATAAGTATGATTACACCTTTTCTTAACTAGAAACTTCAACTTAATATTCAGCATTTATAAAATGTTTCAGTATAACGTTACAGAGATGATCGAGTTTCATGGTTTTAATGAAATCTATAAAATCAACTAAGTGATCAATACCTTTTATTCTAATAATAAATATTAGCATTGAAACATAGGAGTAATGACTTTCTATTTATCAATTGAAGTACTAACCAATGAATAACAGACAAAACTTAACAATTATTCGTTTTCAATTTCCTTCTAACCCAGTGATCAATCAAAAGACGAAAGTAAAAAGTACATGATTTCTCTATTGTGCCCAATTCAGTCATGGCTCAAAACCTATACAATTATATACTTGAAATGATTGACCATAGAGCACACCAAATAAGAAATCATACTCTGAACACAATCATACCATAAGTGGTAGAGGACGAAGCAAACGGCACATACATAATCAATTGGCAACAACTAAGGTATAGTACAACGTATGGTGACAGTTAACAGGCCCCTCCCCAAAAGGTTACAATAAGCGAAGTAAAGAAACGCAACAACTAAGTTATCCTACTAGTGAAACAATAAAAAAATAGTCACAATTTTCTCAATACTAGTCCCATTCTAACACAAACATGAACACAACAGTACATATTAAATCACAGAAATTCATATATGTAAATGAGCATACGAGCTTTCTTAAATTTACCAATTCAAAAACAAAACAATATGAACATACGGTTCAACTAAACTTATGTGTTTTCCATACAGTAGGAGGAGAATAGTACTGAATGGTATACTTTAACATTTCATAATTATTTATCTCACAAGATGATTAGATCAATGAAAACATCTGTAATCAGAATACATTAATCTAATGACAGTGATTTACAAGTTAAAAAAAAGCCAACTGTTGTACATCATACAAATCTTTCTCATTAAGCAGTTGTGTACATATGTGTGTACATAGTATTTGATATTCACAGATGGAATGAATTGTCTATACAATGAAAAAACGATGGTTATTTATCTGTGATGGTAAATGTAGTCGTATTATTTGGACTAAGAGATTGAAATACTAAAGATTTATAATGAAAAAAATCAACGAAACGATCACTTAACATTATGATTTTCGATTTACGATAAAAATTGATTTAAACACATAAACATTGGTACAAGGAGGCACCAAATACATATGCGCCGGACATCTGCTTTTCGTCTTCTCAAATTCGTAAACAACACCCTCTCCAAAAGAAGGCAATGAGTAAGACAATAATAATAGTTATAATAACACTAGTAAATCGAGAGGGAATATATGAAATTATTCACACTCATTTAATTGGATATTGTGTCAGCTAGTCATAATCAAATGAGTTTGAAATGATATAGTAAAAATGGTAGTGAAAAAAACCTGGACATCGAGAATATAATTCTAAAAGACCGGAATAGAACGGTATGTATGAAGAATTGCTAAAATTCAAGATCGAGAGGAAGATAAAGGGTGAAAGCGACTGAACTGTGTCACTCAATATCTATAAACACTAAATGCCCTTATTTGGCCAATCCCAACCAAGTAGTCTGCATCTATCAACATGGTTCAAACTAACAGTCAATGATTTTATACACTGATGACATGTTTTGTTAGTTATATTGATGTAAGCGGTGATTAGGCACATCACTAAACCAGTATACAATGGTGAACAAGTTCAATTCTAATCAGTCCGCGACATCTTATCTAGTGGATACCTACTTCGAACACCAAAAATTGTGTTGTCCGCGTATATTTCCAAACTAGCTATAATTTCCATATTGTTTTCTCTTTTATTGTTGATTTATAAGAGAAAATCGATATAGTATATCAAAACGTACACATATAACGATATTTAGTAACTTCAATTCTGACCCCTATCTAATAGAATCTCAAAGAATTTGATTCCATTCATTACTATCTTATGGAATCCAACTATAGAGTGTAATATAAAAATAGAATTGATGTGTAACAATTAGGGTTTGTTTAAATGAAAATAACTTTATTGTTTATTACTATAATTTGAATAATTCAATGCTATAAGAATTCATGAATTTAACCGATAAGTGTTTGAAATGATTAATGTATTTTTTTTAAAATTATCTATCTACCTGATCGTATATGCAAATTCACGACAAATGTAATTATGCGAAACGTTCATAATAATAAATGAATATGCATATACATACAGATAGGTGAAATGATGGTTAATCACAGCTATCACACTATTAGTAAGAGAAAATATCGGAAGATTGTGTTACCAGGCAATCGTATGTTTCCTTAAACAAGGTTATATATATATTCAATATTTGATTAGCAGTTGAATTCAGGACTTATATTTCATACCGTTTGGGACTCGCCAGCTGGGTGCGTCTGTTAAATCTGTGTCCCTGTTCATACAGAGACTCGAGCCCTGTGACTTACTTTAAATACTAATATGTTACTCACTGAGCTACTGACTCTAAGTAGCCACTAACATGTGTTTAATGGGTATCGAGGTGTGTTAGTAAAGATTAAAGTTGCATCCATCTGATGAGTTCTAAATAGAACACAAAGTGCATCCTGGATCCCACTGCTAGCCACATATCAAATATGTATGAGAACTTATGATAGTAAATATATAAAGGTGAACCGCCAAGGATGTACAGAGGTTATAACAGAGACTGATCAAATGCACTGCCGAAGCATTAGCAATCCACGAACTTTGCATGCAGAAACGATTCGTCCAATCTCTCATCCTTCCTTGATCTTAATTTCCTTTATCGTTATGTTTCAGGTTTTTCTCCTTTCTTCTTCACTTTTATTTGATTATTATTGATGTTTTAAAATCATTGTTTTACAATTTTAACCTCTAATCAGTTATTAGTATTACCCCATTGAAGTTTGCTTGATTATTATTCAATTTATTATTATTAGTATGCCATTTATGTTTGTCGTTTCTTTTCTATATCTGTCAATTGAACAATTATCTGACCCATAAGTTATTTTTATCTTTACCCCTTGATTAGTACGTAACCTTATTTGATATTTAGTTTCGAATCAATTTATGATGTAATTTTTTCTATCCTCCTATAGATATATTTTCCATCTAATTATATATATGAGTGTACAGCTTAGTAAATGATTTCGTTGAAAAGAACAATACTCTAGTTTAGTGGTAGTAATGAGCGAATTATTTGTTGATCAAGTTTAAACTATACCCAATAAGGTTTAAGATTTGATAGCAAAATTCACTCTAGAATATTGGATATTTGCAAGTGATAATCACTAAAAGCATCACTGTATTAATATTTCAACGATGAATATGACAATAATGTTAAAAAAGCATACTTATATCAGCATCATCATCATCTTGTAGCATATCATCACTATTGCTATTATCCTTTGCTTTCCCTTTCCTCTTTTTCTGATTGACGATATCCTACAATGTAAATAAATAAATATGTATATATAACAGAGAGAATAGTATTGTTAAGTAATATGTCATATTATGAATTTGTGCTGATGCATGAACTGCCTACCTCGACGAGTGATGTCAACTCGTTCATAAACGCGTTGGAAGATTTATTTATTTAAACACATAAACATTAGTACAAGGAGGCAACAAACATATATATGTGCTACACTCCGTCATTCGATTAGTGTGAGGGCTGGAGTACTGACTCAGGTACCAAACCGGCGCAGGTGTTTTCTTAGGAAGCCAGTTCCTGAGCCTTTGATCTAGATGTCTAATCGATAAGGCAGTCGAGCAACGTTACGAGATGCAGTTCCATGGTAGCTGGTGACCAATAATAGGTTCATACAACATTTGCTTCCGTAAAATCCTGGAGCTCATGTGCACCATTGGTTTGGAATCAGGGTTTTCCAACTCCCCTAGATGTCTACCAAGCCGGTTAAAAAGTCGGACATTCGCTTTTCGTAAACAACAACATTGTTCACAATAGCTCAGACGCATTCACACTTCATCTTAATTTAGATCTTGAATCGTAGTATTATTTCAAAAAACGTTTTCATCACCTCTTTTCAAACGATACTTTTAATGCTAACCTTTTATAATTATCATTCTTACGATATTAGTTCGATTCTTCTGCTGCTGCGGTAATTTGGGTCGACCCATAGAGCTTCCAAGCTCTATAATTGTTAGAGTTCCACACTATTTACCTCACTCTTGTCGTGTGAGTGATTATTTCTGAAGTTTTATGTATCAATCATGTAGTTTATGAAATTCACGTAGATCGCATTTTAATATATAAGAATCTCATAATCGTTTTTAATTCGGAATCACGGTAGACTATCTCAAAATAGAACAACAAAACGTAACAATTCTTATATTGTCGTTGTTGTTGTTAGTGTCTGACTGATTTGATGAGTAGAGTTTCAAAACTGTTAGTATATGACACATGACAACAAATCATCAACATTTCAACGTGTTCATAACATTTTATACACATATTTATCAACTTTACAATAAAATTAAGAATTTTCAGTAAATGAACAAAATAGTACAGTAGGACGAAATGGCCGTCCAGTGCTTCCAGGTTTTCCATAGTGCTTTAGCTTCAACTGACTTATGATCTTAACCATTGAAAATAGTAATTGTTTGGGATTTTTAAACCGAAAAATCGTAGAGACAAAAAAAAAACGGGAAACATTGATTTTGACAAAATATCTAATAAGAGACTATTCATTATATTTAGAGAAGTAATAATTATTTATTGATTTAGCGAACATTTTTAATTATCCAAATATTTTATAGTAATTTGGCATAATTCAAAATATGTAGAGAAGTAATAAGTAGCAAGTAACAAGCATTTCAAGCAGACGGATGATGGTTAGGAGTGAAATTCCGGATACAATTTTCGTCATACTCGGGACTCGTCAGCTTTAAGTAAATCCCAGAGTTGATTTCTATTCCGTGACAAGAATCCAGCAATTTTCACTTCCAATGCCATGGCATTATCGATTGCAGAGTGGGAAGATCCAAACAACTAGTATATATGGATTCAAATTCAAATTCGCCGCATTGTACAAGTCAGAGGCAATTTAAACTCAATAGCTAAGTAAATAATCCGATGATGTTTAAAGCGAAAGGTACTAGATTCAAGTGACAAAGTAAAAATCAGCTCTAGGATCCAGGTACATTCAACTAACGAGTCCATCGAATATATATATGATATTATTGAATGGCGAATCATTAAAGGACATGAGTTGGATGATAGTATAATGGAATCCAAAGAGATTCCTGTTGATAACTTTCAATCAATATTGAGGAACATATGTTCAATAAACACATAACACACTAAAGAATTAGGTAAATTTAAGTAGAGAAATCATAACAAAAGCTTCGGAAAATTCCTGAGTAAGGTTTGGAAAATAATCTATTAGTAGCAGATGCATTATTTCATTCCATAATTTAGAGACAGTTCCAGAAGAAGAGAATGAATAACAAATCAACGAAGCGCCGTTTTACACATCACTGAATAGTTTTTTTGGATGAGAAAGTGTCTACCTTAAAGTCAAAACTTTTGTGTACATGCTGTGAGGTAATGGTAATAAAGAATATTACTATGTAGAATACAAAGAATGGTTTTATCAAGAAAGTATTCCCGTACTCCCTCATTCATGTATGAACAATTAAAAATTAATCTAGATAGTTAAGTAAGTCATTCAATGAGTGTTAACTCTTCTTCAAACGAAAATAGGCAAAACACATGGTGTATACAAACAAACTAATTAACGAGTAACACATGATATTACCTGATCATTTTGTCGTCGCTTTTAATTTCATCTTCCACAAATAGTTCTTCTTGTTGTTCAAAACCTTCTGCTTGTACTTCTTCATTATTATCGTCACTATTGTCATCATTGTCGTCGAATTCACTGTCGTTGCCTTCATCATCACATTCAGCCTCCTCTTCTAGTTTCTTGTCTAATTCGTTTAATAACAATTTGTACATACTAACAATAATTGGTACATCAATCAGTATTTTAGTCTGTTGACCTTAAAATTAACCAAACAAAATACAGAAAAAGAAAATCAAACGGTCCATCAAAGAGAGAAAAATCATCATATGAAATTATTAGGATATTTTGTTTTATAATGAAAAAGAACGACCCATCGAATTTAATGTGTTATAATTCTTTCTGGTTTATATGAATATGTAATAATTAAACGGTGTATGGTGTACGGTGGCGCAACTTCGTGGATTGGTTGAAGTTAGACATTAACACTGTCGGATGCCGGCTCAGTGGTCTAGTGGTTAAGTGCTCGCGCGCGAGCCAGTAGGTCCTGGGTTCGAGCCCCGCGTGGTGCGGGATCGTGGATGCGCACTGCTGGGAGTCCCATACCAGGACGAAACGGCCGTCCAGTGCTTCCAGGTTTTCAATGGTGGTCTAGCTTTAACTGACTCATGATTTCAACTTGTAATAATTAAACTTTCTAATGCATGTGTTGGGAAAAGTTTATACTTGTCAGTTATTGATATTTAGGAAGAAAATTGATCAGATTTTGTTCGTATATATATGTACAAATTATTTCTAATACATTCATACCCATTGAACAGGTCAGTCGTTAACTGGATTCTGATGTTTAAAGTAAAAGATATTAGAGTTGAATGCTAGTGTCGACATCAACATTGAAATGTGGTAGGTATATCAAACAGAGGAGGACCAAATATGAAGAGATGAGAGTCTTGCAGTCAAGTGCCAGTCATATACTAAGTAGACTATTTTTTGTGCTAAGTAATGTCGGTCTACATTTTCCAATCAAATATGTGTTCTCTGAACATGAATATGCACTTAGTATGTTGTGATTTCTTGAAGAAAAAAAAAACAAAGCAAAATCGTTGCACTCTGAGAGTTGATGAATACCAAGTTATCGTTTGTATGAGAACAAATATGTTATTTGCAAGTTGTATTCATCACAGATTGATCCCGTTCTAGATGTCACTAAAAACCGAGGGATACTGAACAGCTATTTTGTCTCAGGATGAGATTCCTGAGCAGTAAGAACTCACAATCCTAGAGAAAAATTGGAACCAGGAACCTTCGAATCTCTCTGTGAGCGCCAAACCATTAGAACCACTGATTTGGTATTCAATATCACAATTTAAACTTTAGTCAGTTATGGTCATCCGATATTATGATAACTGTTTCTCTCCCAACACGTATATTATAGTTGATATCCGAAGTAATAACGGTGTTAAGAGAACTTCTGTTCTACCGTTGAAGATTAATTTCTCATTAATGACTTCACAGGAAAATATGAATAATCAAAAAAGAAATAGAAGGGCAGTAATTAAACACAGAAAAACTATCTACTGAAAAAATTCCATATTTCTAAGTGGATTTGGTACAGATTGACTTTAGTAGTTAGGATACCATTTATAATTCATTTTAGATTTTGAATAAAATTGAAAGAATATCAACGATGAGCATACTCAAAATGAGCGGTATAAAAATCAGGGCGTTTAGGTGCTTATAAAAAAAAGTAAATCTCAATAAATGATTCGGAATACGTTGGTGACAATGTTAATGGACATCAGCGTCATTATCAACATGAGTACCTCATGACTAGATAATAATAAAGTGACTTCAGTGTTGGATCACTTAAACCGATAATCACAAACAGGATAATTTATCCCACTAACTCCCATTGATTTTGTGCAAAACGGACAAATGACACGGTCTTTCGGAGGTTGTACTTTAACTACGATGATTCGTAGAAGAGTTAGCGTGAGTATATCGGTTAATTGCCTTACCAAGGTCAGCAATCACATTTTCATCTCTTGGTAAGTCTGACCATCTACAAACTTCAGATCAGATGTGAGTATTTTCATTCAGTTTTTGATAGTACAGCGAACGACCACAGAATAAAAATCTTATTTAAAATGTAATCATAGTGAAAATTTACAAAAATCGACAGCGAAATCAATCATTTTGTCGTTTACTGAACATAAATAACTAATGGAACAATATGACAACATGAAAACAATATACATGGGATGTTTATCATATGTATGAGGCAGTGTTAAACTAATCAATTCAACCAACCAATAGTAAGTAATCTATTGAAGAGAAAAAAAAACACATACTAACATGATTACTTATTTGTAAGTTGTTCAATGGACACAACTTTAGGCATTACAAGTAACTGTCGTGTTAAGACACGAAATTCAGACAAATCCACAAAATATACAATTAAATAATGAAGGTTATTATAGATTTTTTTGAAAAAACAATATCAGTATAGATAAAATTAATAAAATTAACGTAGTACAATTCACTATTATTCCTATTAACGTATTGATTCTAACGACTCTGTAGTGAAAACCTTATTTTATAAAATTAACTGCCAATTCATTACGATCAATATTGATATCAGTCAAGTTTTTATGGAAGGTGTCTAGCAGTGTAATCCAGAAACGAGAGTTTTGTCCTATTTGGGACTCTTCAGCTGGACGTAAATGCACTCCAGAGTTGGTGTTCACTTTAGGACTCGAACACAGTACCGCTCGATTCAAACGTCATCGAGTTATCCATTTAGATACTGAGTCCAGATAGCCACAAGCTTGTGAAACAAAGTGAATTTTAATTTATTTTTGCATTGGCACATCTAGTTGATGAGCCTTGAATTCCACTGCTGACCACCATCCATCTTTGCTTATATCTTAAGGCAATGCGCACAAGATACACATATGTTAATAAGAGACTGATCAATTGAAATCCTAAACAATAATTGGAAAATTCAAACAACCAATATTAAAATGAATCAACCTTTTTAATGACCTAAAACTAGCAATGTATTTGCACCATTAAAACATGAAAGAATTATTAAGTGGATAAAGTGATTTGTTAATCAGGGAAACAATCCATTTGTAGAGCTTTTTTTTCTAAATAGTAAAAAGAAAGCACTATTAAACAATTATTTCGTTTTTAGGAAAGGACTCATACAATTACATACAGATAATCGGGAAGCTCTAATTAACCCATCTTGTTATAATTACAGAGAAAAGAAATAAACCTAGTTAATCATAATACAAGCTAAAAAAAAGTAATGTATACTGTTCACAATCGGAGTATTTACCGATTATGTAAAAAAAAGCTGGACACTAACTAGATTTCGATCTGGTTTGAATAGATTCATTATTATCATTATTGTCCATTTCTTCTTGAAGTGTTATTTGCATAATACGTTCATCTTTGTATTGATTGTGTGCAGTATCAAATTAGCCAATGCCATAGTACTGAGAAAAGGAATATTAGAAGGAAGAAATAAAGCGGAATATTATAGACTTATCAAAAAGAAGGGAGAATAATCGAATGCATAAAAGTTATGTACATGCAAATAAATAATAATAATTGTTATTACTGTTTCAATATAAAAGTGTTTAGAATAAAGAATGCGACTATTTATTGCTAATGACTACTAGCAGTAAGGTATGTCGATAGTACTTAAAAAGAACTTGAATTATCTTGGTGTCATTCATCACCAACGCAGAACCTAAACCAGATGTGAATTGGTCCTAGTTAAACTACATTGGTACGACAAGATGAAATTAACAAGGTGCATAGCAAAAACGATTGAAATAAAATAGCAATATTATTTGTGATTTGGACTGATCAGGTTTAATCAACAAACAATTTATCCCTGCAAAAGTAATTAGGTAATCAAACTATAATCGATGAACGAATTAGGTTAACTGAAATTTGTTTGGGTTAAATATTTGATAAGTTTATCGAACTGATGACAGGATGCTGAATGAGATTGACACGAAGTCAAACAAGCAACTAATTACATCAATTAGAAAATTAATGAAAACTATAGTGTACAGAATAACTGTCTGTTTACAACAGTGTACAACTAAAACCCCACTATAAACCAAACCAATTATTTTCATGGTCCAGTGTTTACAGTCAGTTTTTTAAAGGTACAACAGGAAACCGAGAAATAACTAAAAAAGCTGAGTAACTAGATAGACAAATCGTAAAAAATGCACGTGAACATATATGCTGCAACCTAAATCAATGGACTTACACCAATAAGGAGTGACGTTCATACATAATGAAACTGCCCATTCATGGTAAGGGGTTCGATCTCAAATATAAATAGTTGCCTGAAGAAACGTATCTATCTAAGAATCAACCAGACATAGCCTTATACCTATTAAAATCGACCATGTGGAATCAAGTTATTCGGTTTACTGTAATAATGTTTTTAGAGAGAAAACATAAGTAAACCAGTGTGATGTTTCATTTGAGATGGTTGAATCTTGACAATAACGGTTAAAATAATGGGCTTTCAGTTGGTCAACGGTGAATTCTATCTACAATAAACTGAAAAGGTTTCTTGTAATACGATGCATCGAAGAAGAAATTGAATAGACAGAACGTCTGTCACACGATATTCCAATGTTAGTAAACCACATCTCGAAAGGGATTGGAAAGACAGGACTTTGTATTCCGAATACAAGGAAAACAACGAAAAAAACAACTCTTTATAGTAACATTCAATGACTGGAGTTCATAATGAAGTTTCCAAGCTGAAAAGAATAAGAACCAATCAGGTAACAGGAAATGTTAACTGAGGAAACATCGAGGTTTTCCTCTAAAAAAAAACGAACTGACATATAGCAACAAAAAAACTAGATAACTTGAACTTTTGTTAACAGAAATAGCCAACAATCATTCCGAATTACGGATAATTAGGTAATCCTTCCGACACGTGATACGGCCTATTCGAGCTAGATATACTGGAATACTGAAACACAACACTATCGACAATGGAAAGAAAACTTACGAATTCAAGAAATATGGAACGTTTCTGTACAAAAAGTAACAATCATGAACTTTAGGATGCATAACAAAATTAGCAAACTAAAAGTGAGAACGAACAATCAGTTAGTAGCAATGGTCAGTAGGGTAAAATGAAGTGACATAAAGTTATTAGAGACTACAACAGACGTCAGAATCACCACGTATTAACAAAAAATATTTGTAACAAGTACAAATTTCATTTTGGTTTTTCTTGTCATTCTTACCTAACTTGAATTTCATAACGTGAAAAATAATACGGTTGACAATTACACCATATTGATAATATTTCTTTTAGTATAGGTTTTCCGGATAAGTCTGGTATAGTTGACAAGAAATCGATAGCCAATTTAGTTCGTATACGAAACAACAAGATAATGACAAAGAGTAAGCTTTGTCTAGCTCCATGAATACCCTTTTGTTGATCATTATATACTAACTGTGAAGATTGTTTGTGATTATTGCCTTGAGGAGAGAAAAAACGCATTATTTTTAGTATAAGTAGTACGTAATGAACAACAAAGATTAATCAATAAAAGTAGAGTGACTTTTAAAATAGTCTGAACTGTAATTGAGAAAATTGATTAAAACAATGGGAATTAAAGGGAGCTTCAAGCAGTCATAAAACTTGGTAGCTACTTAGAGATTTATATAGTAGGTCGTTTAGTCACATATATATCGTCAAATTATCAGATTAAATTTGAACGGTAAATAAGAAATGTTAATATTTCTCCATCCCAATGGGCGGTTGATTGAAAGTCTGCATCTTACACTTGTTGGTAGATAATACTGGCGAAGACACTCATGGAGAAAATACAGTTGTTCTTGAGTGGAAGCCTGCATTTTGGCGAAATTCTCCCATTTTCGAACAACGAAAAGCGTATTACGCTATGATTTTGAGATGGTGGAGAATATTTGTAGCTCAAGTGGATGATTGTGATGGAGTTTTGTCGACCAACCATCTAGCTCAGAGAACAAAACTCCATCAAAATGTTAATATTAGCATAATTTGACATCCTAAGACTGAAAGTCGACAGATTACGCAACAGAACCCTTAGGTTAGCATCTTCAACATAATAAACTGAAGGAAATATGCGAAAAATTACATCACAAAACGATGGTTACATTTATTGGCTGCATGAACACAAATTCGCTGTCGAATTTCGTAAAATACACATAAAACGTCATTAATATTCATCATTGCCAGAAAAATTATGGACAAGAGTTGGATTAGAAAAAACAATGAAAAGTAGAGAAAACACATCAGATAATTTTTTACAAGATCAACACACACAAAGGAATCAATCGATTTACTGAAATCAATATTGAATCAATTATCCAATGAAAAAATTAGTAAACACAATAATAGAAATCAGAAACCTATTCAAGGAGAAAGAAACAGTCAAAATATAATAGCACAATTGCTGTCGGAAACAACAAGTCAAAATTTCATGTCTATAGAACAACACACTAGAAAGAAAAAGGAGGGAGAGAGAGGGGAAAATAATCAATAATTGGAATGTTTTGGTTGTTCATTTCTCGCCAAAAATAAGTAGATACATATTACAAGATTTAGCTAAGAATTTTGGGAGAATTTTCAGCAGCAGTGTTAATTATTTAGAAGAAATTGGTAGTAGTAAGCTGCAAACCAATATTTATTGATGAGAGAAGTTAATGACATCAACATCATAAGGTACCAACAAACATGACCGAATGAAAATAAAACACTAAAATAAGGGAAAACGGAATGAAAAGTGATACTTGCACTGAAGAAAAAAAAGCAAATCAATTTTTATGCCGATTTATGAAGGTATGATAAATGGGAAATAAGTGGATAGATATATATTATTGATACGCACGCATGATATCACATCAACCGAGGTATTATGATTGCAAGTGTTGTCTCGAAGTTCCAGAGACTAGCATTCTTTCGGTGAAACGCATTATTAATGCATAAAACTTAAAAAAAAAAGCGAAACTAACAACATTATCATCTATACAGATATGGTTGGTTACGAATTGTGAACTTTTCAAGTTACTGTCATTCACTGACGGCTAATATGTATAGGGTTACTTATCGCCAAAATATGTATGTATTTACACACGCTTTTGAGTAAAAAGTGAGCAATACCCTCAAATAACGTTGTTTTTAGTTATTACAGAATCATAGTAGCTCAGAAGCATAGTGAGACGATGTTTCAGTGGATAGAACTACTTAGTCACGGGTACATAGTTTGAAATTCAAGTATCGGAATTGGATGTTGGGTTCAGCTGATCCTATTCCACGACGATAATCCATGATAACATTAGCAATAAAAGTAAGAAACTTTATTTCCGGAGATATTAACGACTACAGATAGAAGTCAATAATACATACTATATTCGTTTCGTAATTCAACTCGAACAGTATTTAATTTCTTCTGATAAGCATTCACATCCTGTCATGCTTAATGTAGTTGACGGTACCTCTTTTTTAACGACATGAAATCTGTCTCAAAGTAAGGTCTTAGAGAACCAATAATTTGGATGTATTTAATTACTTTATACACATTGAACTTGTTTGAAAAAAAAGTGGCGCTTTTATTACGGAAAATTTAATGTTAAAGAAGTCTCTAGTGAGAGGCATGAAATAAATATGAAGTTGATATGACGGGAAAAGTCAAAATTCAATGGATTCATCATTATGAGTTTTGTTCAACATTACTTCAGTTGTGATTCAATGTGATGATTATTCAGTGTAGTAGTTATTTTGTCTTCTCGTATATTTTATTCTGTATAACATAACGTTATTCTTGTATCCAATTCACATGAACTATGCTCAGCGTATGATTTGATATAACCCTAAGTATTTTTCATATATTTGATTTCATCCTAATTATTAATCAAAGTGTGTATACAATCAATCTATAAATGAGTGTATTTTCGAGTAGAGTCGTCGTCGTGTTTTTGGGGTTAATAAACCTCCACTTATACCAGTCTTTGTGTTCTTACTTTCGCGTTGTGGTAATTGCCGAGGTCCCACGTTTCAAGTATAAGTGATAAGCGTTTCCGATAAAACAATCAGCGACGACCAGATATAACAGAAGTAATTTATGAATCTATCCAAGTTTACGACAAACACTTGTATCGAGTAAGATAATATAATACAGAATGAGTGGGCACTAAGTTTTAAATACTTTGAATCACTAAAAATATTTAACAGAATGAAATATTACCGACATTTAGCCATTCCTAGAAACAGCTAATGTATGTAAGAATAGATATAATTTAAACTGTACCACTAGTTTTCATTTATTATAAATAGAAGTATCTGACTAATCATATCTACCAAAAGTTTATATTATATGCTTTAAATATATTTTGGAACATGTATTCAAGTGAGACAGAGAAGCAGTATTACACGAAGCAAAAACTTAACTCATCACACCGTTAAAAATTACATTTACTGAACATGTATTTAATAAATTCCGAAACACTATTTGAAACAACATCAAAATGTCAATGAAATGGATAAATTACCTAATTCACCAGGTATTTTGGTATCAGTTACACTTTAGATGTGAGGGGTGATGATGCTACACGTGTTTCTCAAACTAACGTTAATAAAAAGGGATCCGAACCTTAGGAATTGGCGGCCAAAAGTCAAACTTCTCAATAATTAGGTAGCTGTTCCACCTCAAAATGTAGTGAGTAAATATATTCTATAATCTATTTTAATGGTTTAAACAAAGGTATGCTTGCAGTCTGATACATAACTTTTGAATGATATACCTAAAGAAAATTGGATATGACAATTAATGATTATAATGTCGGTTGCAGAGTGCAGTTTTTATAAGAGAAAAACGATGTTACGTGGCTGAAGATAACCAATAGTAAACCATAAACATGCTAATTGGTACTTACAAGCAAGATGTACTCGCGATCTTCAAAAAACTAATGCTTCCTGTAGGATTCGAATGAACATCACTCAGCTTCATAGTCTGAGAAGTTACTAGGGAGTTATTTGAACTACAACTAATATCTTGTAAGACTGAGATATTTGCGACTGATTGATCGCTGAGTTGCGTGCAATGTCATGTTTGTCAAGTTTTTATATCAAATGAATCTGATAGGCTGGTGCGACAACTGGTGAGAAAATTATGTCCAGAGTGTGAAGTGGATTGCCTGTGACTACGTAAAATCTTAACATAGTGTACACGAGATCAAGTCATTTATACTAGTGATCATATAAAAAGCTGTTGATCGATAGGATTCGACCAGCATTACATAACTATGATATCGTTTACAAACTAAGTGATTATTAAATACTGAGAGCAACCAGGGTTTTTTTTTGAAATAGTGTCACGATCATAATTAGCAATGTGGATAAGCAGTGGATAACAATATTATTGGTGAATTTGCAAGACAGTTTTCTTGAGAAAAAAACTTTAAAATTTTGAGCGGGTAATTAGTGCAACTTTATCGATTGTATCATTCTTTCTCACGATCGAAATTTGATGACTTTATCACTAGTTAATTAATTAAACAAAGATAAAATGAAAATAACTTTAAAATTTATGAAGATATTTCACAGAATTTTGCACCTTATTCAGTTTAGCTGATAGTAAATTGGCTAGTTACGAAAGATTAATATTATTCTAGTAAGAACGGAATCTATTGTAAACATGACAAGGCGATAGTTGTTAAACAATTCTTCAATAATCATCACCAAAGAAGAAACTAAAAACCAGGCAACAATTTATGAGAAAGCTTCGTATTGAATAAAGACTAACTAAAGCGGAACGACTTTCTCTCTCTCTCTACATAGAAACTAAACATATTCATTACAAGATGTAACTAACATTTATTCAGAAAAATTAGGTAACCTAGCATTGTCTTGACAGATTGTTGTTTAGTAGAAAACGAGAGAAATAAAAATCATGTTGAAGAAAACAGTTTAACAAGGCAGATATATTAAAATATTATTTTAGAAAATATGGAATGATATGCTTCATTAATAAATGAAACTATTTTTCAGGTTTGATGGTATTACCCATGTGGTTATTAAGAAGCCAATGATAAATAAACAGTAGCACAAATATATAAGGATGGGATAGGAATTATTTTATATACGTTCATACACACATATACAAATGACTTTAAATATTATAAACGGATAAATGATAGAAAATGTTCAAGATACTTTGGTTGTACCATGTTAACAGATTATTATTACAATCAAAGCGACTATGGATTGAATATAAAGACTAAAACTAGAACACGAGTAAAGAAATGAGTGAATACAGTTAGAATATAAGTAATAGTGATAATGATACAAATCACTCAAGTACTGATAAATGAAATAACATAAGTACACAGATGTGAAAGTTAGACAAAAGCAGAAAAACTCAAGTACGTGACCTATTTACATAAAAGTACACTTCCAGATTAATTACGGCCTCTAGTAAACAATCAATTAACATAGA